GTCTCACCCCGCAGCTACAGATCTCTTGAAGCGTTGTGCAGTCAGTGTGGCCCGATCCTTTATTCCTGGCAGTAGATGGACAAGACCATAGACGAAACCTTTATGCGGCACTCTAAATCCAGGGGAGGTGGAGTTTCAGCAGCTGGACTAACCTGTATACAGACCAACTATGATTCCTATCGGAGATGGTACAGGACAACCAAGAAGAGAGCTAAGTATCTCCAAGCCGCATATGGGATGGCTGATATGACGGGAGATGGTGAAGGTGATACCAACAAAGGATCAAGTCATCGAGACATCCGGCAGGGATCCAACGAGGAGAAAGCCGAGTCGTTCAGACAGTTTCAACATGGGAAAATTTTGTCAACCCATTTGATGTGGCTGACAAAGAAACCTTTGTGCGCAATATCATCCGGGGTGTCTGCAACACCAGATATTGCCGTAGATGTCCTTGGTGCAGAGAAAGCAGGTATGAGTCAAACCAGACATTTATTACTGAGAGACTGCAGAAAGGCACTGGCTTCTTTGATCCAAAAACTCCTTTGATCAAGAAACTAAATCTCAAGGCCTTCGGAAGTATGAAGAAGACAGTGAGGTTAAAGACGTCGACTAACAAAGAGGTCCAATACGTCCAACAGGCCAATATAGCATGCCAACTGCTTGTGACATCTCAGGAGTTGCAAGGAGACAAGGACAACTTTGCAGAATTAATGGCGTACCACCTGTATGATGCCTGTCCCCTACAGTCTTTCACTGGCTGATGGGTTCATGTTCAAAACTGACAAGTCAAAAGGCATGCACTACTTGGCGACTGAATGTGAGGATGCACCAGAGTCATCATCCCCGAATCAGACATTGGTGATTGAAGACAGGAATGCAGTGTTCCATCGCCTCCGTGATCTGCCAGGGAAATTTTCTGGGATAGCACTCAAGGTCCTATAGAAGTTAGTACTCAGGTCACCATCAGCATGCGTATTTAGCACTGATATGTATTGTAAAAAATTCGGTTAAAGCAAAGGAAAGACAGAGGAGAGGTGTTGGAGATAAGCTCATTGTGAGTGGAGGAGAAATGAAACGGCCAAAAGATTGGAAGAATTTTCTGTCAAATGATGAAAACAAGGTTCAGTTTGCGAAAATCTTACTCGACACTTGGAGTAGTCCATCATCGGCACCAGTCTTACGAGATCGGGTGTTAGTCCTGGTATTAGAAGGAGTACCGTACAAGTTGACGTCAACAGGGGATGCCATGACGGTTTATTGATGAACTGGAATGCCTCTAATCCAATCAAGAGAAGGACACTGGGTGGTTTTGTACTGCATGTATGCTAAGGAAATTGGTTATGCTACTGACAAGGAGAAAAGTCCCAACACTGACATAATCCTCCACCATGCCCGTCGACTGGTGGGCTACAAATATTGTTTGAAAGTGGAAAGGGGAGCACAAAGCGTTGCATTGATGTAACTGAGCTTGCAGAATCGTACAAAACATTGTGCGAACAGCAGCATATCTTGGACTACATGCCTTTTCAGGTTGTGATGGCACAAGTGCTTTTAGACCAAACGGGAAAGTCAAATCATTCAAGCTTTCGCAAAAGCATGAAAAATTCCAGGCTGCATTTGCTGAACTGGGTGAAACCTGGGCAGTTTAATTCTGAGGCAGTTGTGGCGTTGTTAGATGAATTCACTTGCTTGTTGTATGGGGACAAATATACAAAAACAGTCGATGTCTTGAGACATACTCGGCTTTTGCGGAAGTGTGGTGGAGGTGTGAAGATGAGACAATCCAAAAAGGTAGATCTGGCATCACTGCCACCACGCCGCAGCTCTTTAAAAGAGCACATAAACCGAGTGAATTACCTAGTCAGAATATGGAAGCGTGCTCACATTCCTAAACCAAATGTACCAGAAGCAACAAATGGCCACGGATGGTAAGCTCCAGCCGAAGTAATTGGGGGGAGAAATGTGTTACCTGTAGAAATAATCGACATTCCGAGCACCGTACACCAGGAAGAGGAGAGCGACTCGGAGCGAGAGAGTGGCATGGATAGTGATACTGAGAAAGACAGAGACGAGTTGGACAGTGAGAGTGGCTGCTAATCACCCGAGGATCATTTCATTTAAAGGTAATTACATAGCAGGTTAAACTATTCAGGGATTTCTTCGGAGAGCACTGACAATATGACGCAAAATATGCATTTCGGGGTAATAACGTGTTTTTACTTTTTGAAATGAAGGGGCTTATCTCGGTAACTGCACACTTTTCTGGAATATGTTTATTTTCAAAAACCTCAACCGTGTTCCAACTTCATTGAATATCTTTCATTGGTATGGCCACAGCAGTGTGTGGAGTTTTGAGAATCACAAATTCCAACTTCATTGGAGTGTGCGTGACCTTTTGACCTATATTTGCATAACCGAGGGAGGTATCTGTCATTGCTTCACACCCTCAGACAGGAGACCTAAGTAGCTCTCAAATGACACCTAATTTGTCCATATAAGCAGAAGTTAAATATGTGATTGGACCAGTTTCATTTCCCTACCTCTAATTTTACGCCCATTTTCTGCGCTAATGTAGGGGTATATATCTCACTCGAGTGGATATTTTGTACCACTTAATAGGCCTATTCATGTTAGCATGATGAAGCAGGGCCGTCAGCATTACAACATACCAAGGAAGTTAAGTTGTGGGGGTGCATGTGGACCCATCGTAGCCCACGGACATTTGGACGGGGGCTGGGGCCAGCTGAGACGTGGATCTATATGGGGCTGACGTACGCCCCCCCCCCAAAAAAAATAATTCCAAATCCACTCTTGGGTGGATTTTGCAGTGGTGTAACCTTGCAATTATCTTTTTTTTTCCTTTAGAACAAATTCATTTCGCCCTACTCCGCTCAGGCCCAGGACCTGGATCACTTGTTTTTGTGACTCTAGTCGAGTCATTAGGCAAACAGTCGAGTCCATCCATGTTAATTTAATTCACAAATATTTGATCACAATACGATAAATAAAAAAGTCAACTTCGGCATTGTTTAATTTACCTCTGGGTTACTACACGTAGTCACACCACATTTTGACCTTGATGATAATGACACATGACATGGTCATTAAACCAGTACAGGAAGTCATTGCAAATACTTTTTTCACAAAGAAGTTTGATTTCATTATTTGGACTCGAGTCTTATTAACTTTCACTTGAGTCGGGTTTTCTGACCAGGGACTTGAGTTATTTGCTTGCAGTGACTTGGGTCGAGTTTAGTCGTTTGCCCGTCGTGACTCGAGTCGAGTGGAGTCGCTAGAAATGGTGACTCGAGTCTGTTCAAACTCCAGGCTAGTCACTGACTCGATTCATCACAACTCTGACCTCTGTTCGGGCGCTGGGCGACGAGCGAAGCAGGCGGCAAACGACTCTTTACCATAGTACAACATTCATCAGCTACAAATATTAACCAATTAACAGCGAAAGGGGTATTTTTGAGGTTTGGGTTTTTTCGGGGGGGTTGTCTTTTGTTTGTTTGTTGGGTTATTTGTTTTTTAAGCTAAGTGGTGATTTCCTCCTTTTTCATCATTTCTTTTTTTTCCCTCATGTATCCTTTTTCATATTTTTCCCCGATGGTAAGCCCCCACCATAAGGCAAGGGTTATTTCCAACAAACCAGTTAATCTAATTTTTTCACGCCTAGTAAAATGATTTGACATGTCTGTCGAAGTAAAATAGTTTTAATTTCGTTGATAATAAAATACCTCTTAATCCCATTAATCACAGATAACAGTTACTGTTATATTCATTATAAGTTATTTTTTGATTTTTGTATTAAAAAAAATTGCATTTACGAGGACAACAAAAGAAATTACGTTACTCTTCACAGATCCGTCTTTTCAAACTATTATTAAAAACTTACTCCTCCATGCTGTGGATTTTGGAAGAGCAAGTAAAGCTCCCTTGTCAGTAAATAGGAGAAAGACAAGCGCAAAAACTAAAGGTAATCCACATACTTTGACCTGACAACGGTTGACTAGGGTCGTTCATACTTCAACTTCACTGCACATGCGCTAGGTAAGTCACGCACCGACCACTAGTTAACTAGTCCTTGATTGAACTTGCCCTAGGTTAAAATTTCTTCTTAAGTAAATCTGATTGGCTAGAGTACTTTTCCAAGCATTTTTCAATTTTCATGTATTTCCTGACAAGTGAGGGAGCTGTTTCTGAGATGTCACTGCAGGAAGGCACTATTCAGAGGGGGAGCTTATGCTCCAATTAAAAAAAAATCCAATCTGCTTATTATTAAAATTATTTTTAAGAAAATCTGGCTCATGGGCCTGCTGACACATGCATGTACTGTAAGAGCAATAAATCACCAATGATAAGAAAATCTGAAAACATTCCAAATTCCAGCAAAGTTTTGTGCTGAAATACCTGTAACATTGACGTTCTTCCTGAAATGAAATTAAATGTCTGCTCATAAAGAAGAAAATTTAAATTAGTTTCGATCAAGATGACATCAAAATGCACTTCATGCAGAAAAACAAAAATTTAAAGGAACTTTTAGTGGGATAGAAAGGTCTATGGTTGGTCTTTGCCATGCTTGCTTCTAAGTTCTTAATGAAATGGATGAGAGCAAGCGATTTACTGTTAGCAGAAAGTTGCATGCTGATAGAACATCACATTTACAAAATTTGACTGAAACTCTGCTTTTCACACTACATATTAACTACAGTAATATTAATACAATTTCAATCAAATCGTCCAATGTTCTCTCGGGGGCCTGAATAGCCAAAGTTGATGAATGTGTCATCACTATTGTCACAGTGGCAAACTCTTGTGAGGAAATCAAATGCGCTTTGTGGAACTAAGCCAGAGCATCGCAACGTAAGCATATGCAGTTAGCCACTTCATGAAAACAGTACAAGATTGTACACACTAACACCTGACATTTACAGCCACACATTCTCAGGGTCGGCATGACGTCACTATAGACTTTCAACACACCACTAAGGACCAAATTTACCCTTCGTGCTATTTAATAACGTACAGAAATTCCCAGATGTCCAACTACGAGAAGCTAATAAAAATACAATTTCAGTAAGACTAAAACTAAACAGTGAATCAAAAACTGTAATACTGAATAGTAAGAACTATTAAAATTTTTCTAAGCAGATGGTCATTGGCCAATTGAGACCTTACCAAAAAAACACCAATGTACCTCATAAATATACTTGTTTGCATTTTATATTAGTAAACCTTTCAAAAATATGCTGTGCTGTAAACAAATTCTGTACAAAAAACACTTAAATAAAAAGTTAACTATACACAGAAGTGAAAAAAATATTTGGAACACCAATCAGACGGTTGACAGAAAAAAACTGACACTTTGCAACAATACAATACGTTTTGCCACCAAGATGCAGTTCTTCTGAAGCTTTGGTGGTGTTGCGATATGACTTACAATCAGACACTGACCATGAACAATGGAATTTTACACGGTGAACGTAACTCAGTAATGGACGGTAATGAGAACTATTTGACAGGTGAGCCGCATACATACATTAGGTTTCAAGTTTTCGGATCTGTGAAAGGCATCTGATCTACCAAACTCGTAATTTGTTCCCAACTCTTAATTCAGAGGTCCATTAAAAGAACTTTGTTTTTTCATAACTGGAACATTCTCTCCAATTTCTACTTCTTTGTATCCATAACCAAGCATACATGTACTTGCATTGTGATTAGTATTGTCTTGTAGCATACAAATAAACTTAATGAAGACTTGTTATATTACCAGGGTATGTAGAAATTTTGGGAAGGTATCGGCTTCACAACACAGCTGTCCATGTGGGGTGGAAAGATTTGCCTGCATACCACAGGAGAGTTGGCAATGGGTGTTGAGATGACAGACTGAGCGTGCTCAGTGGAAGAATGTCGAGCCTGGGTCCTGGTTATCCAGGTCAGCGATGTGTCGCAGGACGTCTTTCTTGCTGATAATGCCCAGCAGCCTCCTGTAGGGCAAACAACAAAATGGGAAAGGAAAACTGGGCGCTGAGCTAAGCTAAAGAGGTGGGTTTTTTTTCCTTTTTAACTCAGCAACATTCTGTAGCACCAATACTGCCTATTCGTGAACTCCATTTGTCACCATTTTCACATGCAGATTTTGAAGAACAACTGGTTTTTGAGAAATCGCTAGAGAAGTTTCTCCTATTTCAAAACTCTCAAAATACTATTATGAACAAGTTTATGCAATAAAAGAACCTCAAATGATTTTTTTGAGAGATGACCTTTTGCCCCAACTAAGTAATTAAAATGAACAGAGTGGTTCATTGGCCAAAATCAATTTGTAATCACATCAGTTTGTGAAATGGGCAAATCTGTTTCCCTATTTTGCGGCTCTTCTGTGAAATGTATTTTTTCATAGGAAGGGCCACACGTGTTCATGCAAGTGCCATAGTGCCACTGTCACACTGTAACAAAGAAAACGTCTTTAGTCTTGGGGATTCAAATTGTTATGTTTATGAGCAAACAGATAGCTCAGTGTAGCAGGCTTATTCAAATTCCACTCGCAAAAGGCTGATTTCCATCTAGGAATGCCAAAGCCTTTATAATATTCAATCAGTCAAAGTGCTGATACTGTACATCTCAAGATGTCACTGATTGGTTCGAATGTTGATTGTAGTCTACCATAGTTTCTTTTTATTGGACCATCTTGTCAATCATTTGGAACCAGGCCCTGAGGCACAGTCGCACCACTGGCACGAAGGGAACCACTCGCATTCGAATAATTGTCACTGACCATGTACTTTGCAAGAGTTGTAGCCAGGGGCTGAGGTTTACCAAATAATGCACCCTGGGACCTTCAAACATAACTTTATTCCAAGCGCGCATAAAAAGCAACTGACTGGTGGTAAAATGCCTGAACTGACCACGGCAGTCAAGCCTGTGACAAGACGAGGTACAAGACCGGATGTAAGACCACTCACAAGACCAGTCACAAGTAATCAGGTAAAAAAATTGCAAAGCAATTGTTTTGTTGCAGTTTATTTGAACATTGTTCATTTGAACAACTCATGATTTGATATTAGACTGGAGGTCTTACATTGGTCCTGTGGTGATCTCTGTTGGTCCTGTGGTGGTCTTTTGATGGGCTTGTGTTGGTTTTGTGATGGCCTAGTGGTGACCTTGTGATGTTTTATTGGCCCGCAACGGTCATAAAGGGGTCTAGACTACAACAGCGTTGGTTGAGGGGGCACATGTAAATGAAATCTATTGGGCTGATTCACATTTTACACCACCAATAAGTTCATGATTGGTATCTCCCATTTATTATGCTACAGCAAATAATCCATTCTTCACTGCCTTAACTGCTTCACGCCGGGGAAGGGGGGTACCGAGACACGGTGCATGGCCCATGAGGCTGGGGTGCCCGAAATTGGATCTTTCTTTTAAAAAAAATAGAGTTGCTGGGCATTTTTAGAAAAAAGTTTACTCGTTGTCAGTCAAAAGTTTGGGCCATCAGCAAAGATAATTCCATCATTGATGGGCCACAATGGGTTCACTGGACCGGGAATCTAGGCCTTTATTCATGGCCGGGGTGACCGAACTTGAAAACAAAAGACTGAGCTGGTGGGACTTGCCAATGAAGGTTTGTACACTGTCAGTGTAGAGTGCTGGCCATTTACAGAGGTTATCTATCATTTAAATACGGCTTTTGCCTTTACCCAACATATACACGTATTTATATTGACCTGTCATTGTTTTGAAACATTATCACTGTTTGCTGCTGCCAGCGTCCACGGATTATCAGCAGGGACAAAAGCGATTAGCAGTATACAATACTGCTGTGCACTTATGGAATCACTGTGCAGCATCCATCGTGGCGGTATGCCTGATGAATGGCCCAGTTCACCGTCATAGTCCACACGCTCTGCACAGCAACACCAGCTGTCCAGCATAGCAACGCACTGGGCTAATTTACCGAACAAAGAGGAAATTATGGGACATAATGGGGGCTCTTTACTGGGCGGCATACACGGCTGTTGCCCTTACCCGTCAATGGAGGTTGCCTGTCATATAGGAGTCACCACAGGACAGTCATTCTTTTGGGTGTACACATATTTTTGAAGAATTTTAAAAACGGAAAAAAAAATGAAAAAGCGCCCAACCAAGAGGCATGAACATCAATATCTCTGCCCTGCAAAAAGTGGTTAATGTACAGCATTCAGCATAAATTTAAAAAATGTACGTAAGTTCCAACTTTGTGATTCTGTACTTACGATTTATACAGTACTAGCAAATGCTATTAGAACTGGAACCAGTAGATAGACTGCTGTCTGCTATTTGATTACACATTAATTTTACACTCACCCATTGTGTGTGACAAGGCAGGTTCTGATGCCAAGTTTCTTGAACATGTCCACAACGGTGCTCATAGGGGTCTGGTCAGTGATAGTAACAGGACTCTGTAAAGGACAAAAACATTTCCAGGGTGTGATTTTTAAATCAGAGGTTCACTGAAAATGCTTCTATTTCAGAGCCTACGGGAGTAAGAACTGAAGCACAAAACAAGTACAGAATGCTGTGGTCCAATGAGTCAGGTGTTAGACTCACATACAATGGTACATCCTCCTGAATGCCAAGGGTACCATGTTGCATGTGTTCCTAGGCAAGACACATTACTACAATTGCCACTCTCTTTACCAGCAAGTAAAAATGGGTACCACTGAGGGTAGACATCAAGGTGCTGATCTAAAGCTGCTGTAGAAAACTGATTCTGTGGCCCAATGAATGGGGATAATGATTGTGAAGTACTCCGAGACCATCAATTACGAGGCGCTAAATAAACACTATACCATTAGTACTCAAAGAGAAGTGTGGTATGAAAACAACCTTTGACCTGCTGTGCAATTGTGATGGGATATTCCAAGAGAGGATGGAAGAAATCACTGACGGCAAATATTAATTGTTTTTCTTTTCTGTAACTTCCTCCAAACTGTAAACAAGCTAATTCACGTGTGCCACACACTACAGAAGTACAACATACATCACATTAACCCCTTCTCATTGGGAAGCGGCAGGAGCCGCCGTAAAAATTGAGATCCCTCAGCCCACTTTTCAGATATTATTCTTGGCCCATTCTCGAGCGAACACAGTGAAAGAAGGCATACCCTGGCTCTTGTATATATGGTAATTGGCCTTTGTGTGTTGCCAAGAAATGAAAAGACCGATTTTGCATTATAATCACCAGCTTCACAATGGACCCCACTTTGAAAAGAGGCAACAGGAATGTGGAAGCGTGAGTAGAGCCGCATCCCCACTGAACAGTGAGCCCTTTCACTGTGTAAATCAAAGCGTGCAGAGCACGCAGGGCCACAAACCGAGAATTTGCAGTTTGGCAGGTGACCTTCGTGTTCAAGCGAGGCTGGAATTCTCTGAGTCGGCTTTCAGAAAAAGTCCTGACGTCAAAGGGTTAAGTTCAAGGGCTACAGGTAATTCAGACACACAATGACTGTACATTCAAAGTGCAGTCACTACGGCAAAGATACTGATCCAAGCAACTTCTCAGAATGGCTAACACAAAGGCAGTCATTTTGCACAACAGTGGGTGAGATGCTGTGTTTGTGACTCAGCAACCCCGGCGAGAGTATGGCCCCCTGACTCACCCCATCCAGGATGCTGAGCAAGCTGAGGTGGTGGGGGATGCCAGGAACCTGGAACTTGGGCACCTTCCTGGTAAAGTACACCTTGGATTGGCTGACGATATCTGGTTGGGTCTTCCTGGCTTGCTCTGCTCACAGAAAAACAAACCCCAAAAAGAATGCACTATGAACCAGTTCGGTATTCCAACAGGAGATTCCACAACATGAAGTCCGTCCATGAGAGGCTAGTTTCATCAGCCACACTCTGACTGTGCACTGAAACATGTTCTGAACAATGACACTCCCACAGTCAAACTGCCACTCACTCAATGCATGGACGAGCTCTTTCCTGTAAACCACGCCCACCAGACGCTGCGAGTCCTTGGACACGATAACAGGGTAGGTGTTGAACCGAGTTTCAATCGTCAAGTTTTCTGCAATACAAACAACAATGCAAGGTTCATTGTTATTCGTCAAAGAACACTTTCCAGTTTCAGTTTTGTTCTGTCACTGTTAAAAAAAAATGCTTATTATAAAACCTACAATCAATTGATTTCCAAACTAACAATTGCAAAAATTGTTTTTTCTCCTATGGTTGTATGCATTCAGGTGCATTCCATCTGCAGTATTCACATCTGAACTCCTGTATAACTCTCTCTTGTTTGTCTGTTTTTGTATTCGTTGTTCAGCCTGGTAAATTGTTGCTTTGATTGTTTTGCTTGTATGTTCACTGTTTATACAACTTTGTTCTTTTATTCTGGTTGAATAAATAATAGTCATGCTGGTACCATATGAAAAAGGAGTAGACTCCACCGATAGCAGCTGCATGACCACTGCTCATTTGCAATTGCTTCAGGAAACATGCCTCTCATAGGGAATTCAAAAGGCCACTTTACGCTTGGTCAAGTGACTGAAAATCAACATGCCATTATCTTGTAGGGGTTATTGGATTGCCAGTAAAGGACACTGGCAACGCCATGAAAAATCCACAAATGAACTTTGACATGGTCACTGACCTAACTTCTTATTGAGTCTGTTCTCACGTGTTCTTACACCCAACAATTTTATGCCTTCTACACTTTACATAGCCTTTGACACTTAGAACAATTAACATGAGACGGTCACACAACTAACAACTGCTCAAAGGGCTCAAGTGCTTGACAACCATCAGCATCCGGCAATCATCCTCACAACATTGACTATAAACAGGCCTTAGTGTTAACCACTTGCCGCCTGGGTTTCCGGTACCGGACACGTATTCTTTATACAAGTGGCCGGGGTCTCTGAAATTGGACAAAGGGAACTGGGCCTTGTTACAAAAGACCGTACTCATAACAAAAGACCAGGCTGCTGGGCATTACCAATATTTTTTCACTCTCAATAGTGGAGATAATCCAGCCTTGTTTTGAAACAGTATACCACGGTTTTGGGGATTTAGCGCGAGCGGATTACCACTGGAGACAAAAGCGCTCCACCACCGCAGCGACGAGCCACACAGTACCGCTGCACGCTAATCTGGCCCCTATTGAAAAGAGGTCAGCAGCGCACTGTGCCAGGTTCGTGACAAAAGAAAATTACGTAACACAGCACAATCTGGGCTCTTTTTACAAGGCTGCAGGCCTGACTGAAATACTCCTGTGTCAATAGATGTTGTCACTCAGATTAGAGTAAAAACCAGACCTTCCTTCATGTGGGTGTAAGTGTCCAGTAAATGAAAGTATGAATTTTTAAAGAATTTTGAAAACAGAAAAAAATAATTATCCCATCCCAGCATCACCAACATTGATAACTACCACTGGCGCGAAGTGGTTCAAAACTGACTCCACCATGAAAAACTGTGATACTACAAAACCAACCAACATTACCAATCGTTAACTCAAGTTAGTCGCAGTCCTCAAGTCTCAAGTGCTCATGGAAGAGATAGATCACATGGTGTCTCCGCAAACCACGCCACTATTGCTATCTTTACCATGCAAACCTTCAAATCTTCTCTGAAAATGGCAACCATTTTAGTATTAAGCCAGTGTCTTGCTGGCAACAATACATGGTAAAGTAGAGAGTGAGGGTTGCTTTCACGTATACTTATCAAATTTACCCCTTGTGCAGTGCACGATCATGCTAATCCAGCACTGGATATTAGCTCAATGATTGTTTTCGTTCTTTCTGCCATTTATGAAGCCGTGGAGGCTTGGCTATGACATAAATACTGTGTGTGGCACTGTGGTCTTGGTCTTTGACAATGGTAGATGTACGTCTGGTTCCGAGTCAGTAAGAACGTTCTACATGGTCAAACGTCTGAACCCTGCCTTTGAAGAACTCTGAAGGGGCTTCACACCCTGTGAATATTCCCGCGCACAGAATGTTCCTAATTGGGCTAAAGAACAGCGGCTGATCACTGGAAGATTTGTAAAGTTCAAGCAAAAATATGCACAAAAGGGTCTTCCGGGGGAAAAAAGAGTTTACACAGACTACTTATGTATTCTCACCCAGCTCTTCAACTGTCATTGTATCCATGGTGATTGTGCACAGTGGAGGGTCAGTTCGCCTGAGGAAACAACAAACTGTGAACTGATGAGTTTGGTGAGCTCACAGGATCAATGGTTACAACAATACAGGAAAACTTTTCCCATTAAGCAAATGTGCCATTTGGGAGTCACTCTGTTATCAAATAGGACGAACACAAAATTGGAAAGTTATTTTTGGTACCAGAAAAAGGGCAACTTTACTTTTGTTTCTGCGGGGATGGCTTAAGAGTCTGGGGTCCAAAGGCAAAAGGCATCGTAAAGTTTGACTGGGTTAGGTATTGTTTTGTACTACAACAGAGTCAAAGTCTGTACACTAGTCTAAGCGAATAAAAGTATCATTTCTAGTTGTTACCAATTATCAATCATGAAATGGGTAATGAAACCAAAGATTCTCAAAAGCACCGTAGGCACTGTGGCTTAGAGGCCTATAGAAGACAGCAGAGAGGAAGGGATAAGAAGCAATTACAGTTTTGTTTATGTATGTGCAAATGAACTGTTTACCTTGGAGACATCACGTCTGATGCCAGTGTCGTGCGCATGAACTCTTGCTTGCTGTCTAAGAAAGGGTAGCCATTCAGGTGTATGTGACCGTCATAGCTGGATGACAGTTAAGGATCAGAGATGCCGATGAAAAGATTTCAGACTGGTGTGACACTCCGTGAGAGTGACAGTGTACGTCTGGTGCCCACACAAGTACACTAAAGATGGGCAATTCCACAAAAATGTTCAGATGATCTTGCGAACCTGGTCCCTGTTACACAATCCCATTCCAACCTCTTTTGGTCCTCTAAGCACTGTATTCCATGTACAATAGTATAGCTGTTAGGTCACTAAAACCTGCAAAAAGAACTTTAGATGTGTTGTTTAAGAACATTCGGTAGTAGTAGTATTGAAACAAAGAAGTAAAAATACAGTTCACTTCACAAGGGTGTCATGTCCATTACACTAGTATATTAATACGATCTGTCAAATACTATTAGTCATAGAGAAAAAAATCATTGTTTTGGTATGGTGGGTGGTAGTAAGTGGAAATTTCTCATTAATTGTAGCTAGCTGGTGCAGAAGCAAGTTTGCTTTATATTTCTTTTTGTATTGTAAATACTGAAAAAAACCAACCCCTCCCAAAATATATGAGATATCACAGAATACCATGTCTGTTCCCATCTTTTAACCTTACTATGAAACACTAAAATATCTGCCACACCTTGAAATAAAAAATTATGTTAGCTCACAAAAAATGGACAAAACTGTCATGTCTGTTAGGCTAAATGTGTCATCTGTTACGCTACATTTTGACCTATGGAAAAAGAATGCAATGTAAAACTGTTCAAAAAGATGACTGTAAGATTAAAACATGACCTTAAGGTTTAAAGCATGACCTTAAGGTTTAAAGCATGACCTTAAGGTTTAAAGCATGACCTTAAGGTTTAAAGCATGACTATAAGGTTTAAAGCATGACCTTAAGGTTTAAAGCATGACCTTAAGGTTTAAAGCATGAACTTAAGGTTTAAAGCATGACCTTAAGGTTTAAAGCATGACCTTAAGGTTTAAAGCATGACCTTAAGGTTTAATTAATACCCAAACCAGGTGCATTCTATCCAAAAATTCACAGGAATTTTCATAATTAAGAGTAGGTCAAAATGCCTTGCCTATTTTGTGTCATGTGAGCTACGCTCACATTGTGTGACGTTTCTCTACAACTGTTCAATAAAATTGTGTGAAATTTAATGTGTATGTTACTAATAGTTAAATGTGTCTGATAAACTCAACAAAAATTGTTGAGAGACTGCCAATTCTATTGAGCGATGATTTGAATTGGAAAAAAAAATGTCTGAATGTCATGTCTGTTACACTGGAATTGACCAGATTTGTAAAGCTCCCATGCATATTCTCTGAACCACATATGAGCACATGAATGTTGTGTGTTGCTGGAATGGATGGCTGCTGAGTTCATAAAACACCTCCCTATGTTGTCTGTGTACAGAACCTATATGAGATGTCCAGTTGCCATAAATAACATGATCAGATTGCATAAAAGTGAGTACTGAGGCCATTTCGTCAGTCCCTTCATTGATGTTTGCGCTTACGAGGTGATTTACGTGGGCACATTTTCTGTGCAATCACGTTCCCTTCTACAGTATGTAAAGTCAATTTGACATCCTTTTTGGGTTGAGTGTGTTGAAAAATGAGCCAGTCGAGCATTTATGACAAAGCAAGGTCATTCGGGAACAAGCTCATGCACGACTCAGCGTTGGGCCAACGCTGAACGGCAGACCTCGCACGCACATCCAAATGACTTCTTTAGGCGCTCTAGTTTGAACATGTTCTGTTGGAATAGCAGACTGGCCCACTGCGCTTCTTTAGAATGTCAAGCTTTTCTGGACAACTGAGAGCACTGATGCTGTGATGCCATTTAGGTAAGACGCCATTCAGTTCAAAGGTTTTTTTGTCCAAATTATGAACCCAAAATGTGTTCACTACAAATATTTCTGAGAAAGGGCGGCTCAAAAGTTAAAGTAAGGTACTGTTACATTTTTTTTCAAAAAATTGCTTCAGCCAAACGCTACTCCAATGTGTCTGCCCTATCTACCATGTTGTGTCAGACGCTGCCATGTTTGCAAATGGACAATTTACTGCTGAAAAAAGGATACATTCCGTCCTTGCCGAACGCATCGGCTACCCACTTACTGACCATACAGGCAATCATGAGAGGCACGATGTAGGTTAGACCACCGGTCAGCTCAAACATGATGACCACTAGGGAAACTACAAATGGACAGTCGGCAAAAAACACACGTGAATCTTCAGCAAGGAATAACAAGGGATATTTACGTTGGGCATTATCAGTCAACGATGGGCATTATCATTCAACGAAGCATTATTGAGCAATCACACTGCGCTATCAGTCAATCCTCTATGAAATTTCTGACTTAACTACCTTTTTTGAAATACTCTTTCACAACCATGAATTAGATGAAAAAATGTCATTGTCTAAAGGTAAAATTGAGAATAGATCAAACGGCAAAGTGAAGAGATTATGCATAGATTGCACAAATAGAGCAGATCAACCAGACATGCCAAACAGTTAAAATGAAGTGCAGGCATCCACAACTACTGGAGCTAGAGGCTCTACATCACTAATCACACACACTGTTTTTTTCCCACAAGATTTCCTTCGTACTTGCTGACAACCTTGGCATGGACTATCAACCAAACAACTTACTGGTCATACGAGTTACTCCACCCAGGGTGGCTGCCGCCCCAACCATAGCATACAGGCCAGGAGTGATGCATTTGCCGCCATTGAAACACCCTGTGAAAATTGTTAGGTCTGGGTGTTGGCTAGAGGTGATGAGAACAATAGAAAAATTTTAGTTTACAAACGATCGCTACTGGCTGATAAACACATATATGAACACAGAAATGCAGAACACAACGAGCAGAGAAATTTGCAAAACACTGTCTGACCGGGACCCACTCAAAAAAACAATGTGTATCAATTTGTATGACAGTTGCATAAATATCCAGTGAAATACTGCTACATGAATGTTGGCAACGTTTTTGTTCCTATGTCCCTACTGAAAGGTATGTTTTCACAAGTTGCAAAGGCTCAGTTGGTTTTACATAAAGGCAACAGGGGAAAAATTTGTGCACATTCAGTTAAAAATTGGTAACCAAAGTAGTATGTGAGTCATGTTCCCTTGGCTCTCATGAGTTATGCAACATAAAATCCGTACGGTTCCATAGATGATGCACTTTTGTAGCAAAAATTACAATTTATATCCCAAGGTTATTGGTAAATAATAACCAGGTTTACAAAGACAAGCATACATCGCAAGCTGCTCCATTGCTATCCCGACCATGCGCCCTCCTATTGCACCAACAGCCATTGTAGGAATGAAGAGACCAGCTGGTACCTGGAAAGGTCAAAGGTCAATAAGGCTAAATATTATATTATTATATATATAATGCTTAACCGGGTCTTTTACTGCCACTACCACAAGTGTTGCCCCAGGAAAAAATGAGCACTACAGGCAAGAAAGAAAATAAAAAGCGAGGGAATTATAACCAGGAGGAAAGGGGATGAGGGTTATGAATTTTGTTTGAAAATATCTTGGAATACACTTCTCCCTATTTCCACCATTAACCCCTTCGCTATGGAGGACTGCTACTATCGCACCATTGTGTGAGGATTAGTGCATACCACACATACTGGGTACAGTCTATTCACCATGCAGCTGCTGGTTCAATGGGGCCTGCTGCTGGACAAAGCCCTCCATTTACAGCGTACCACAGTCCAGCAGTCGAGGTCAAAATAATCCCACCGTGACTGGGGTTAATGGTTTATCCGTTTGCTGCCCATAAATGCTTTGTGTCAAACCTCAGGAAAAGCCCCCCATCCAAGCAGAATAATCTTTTGCTTACCTTCAGCCCAAAGGTAAAGACTGTCAGGATGCCCTGTAGTATCATGGCTAGTGGAAGCTGCCACATGGCCGCTACCAGACCTGGCTGAGCCATCGCTGACGGGTACCACTCACGGTCGGTTCGGGCATAGGTACGATTGTAATCACTGTTTAACATTGAAAATAGTAACATGTCACAGTGGAGATTCTCATTGCAATCAACATAATGTCCTCACACCGGGTGAAATACTTCACATCTCAATGAGAGATTATATCTACCGTATCCTACAGAGACGCATTGTAGGTAATTATAGCTACCTTTAATGGAGACGTTTTAGATATTTCAGGGAGATATTTTAATATCACTTTAAGGATTTTGATGCCAGAAAGAGACCACATTTTTTCCCCTTCTTGTGGTCAAGTGTAGGGCAAACAAAGGAGATTTGGTTAGGCGCTTCCGTTTGAGAGCTAAAGGGCATTCATTCTATGATGTACTATCACTATCCCTGCTCGTTAGGCCCCCTATTAGTTCTAAAAAAGGGGGGGTCTCAGCTCCCTGAGGAGTGTTCAGCTTGATAATGCCATTTCAGACATGAGAGGCTAATCAAACGCAATGACCATCTCTGTCCTCACAGGGACCCATTTATTCTGCTGGTTGGAGAGAAGCAAATAGGGGCAAAAAGTTCTGTTCAAGGTCAAAATGTAGGTCAAAGCTGAGTGGGACCCCTGACCCCACGATTGAGAGTTTCAAACCCTAACTACAAGATCAAAAGCTCCCAAAAGTGTAATACAAATGCAATACAGGCAGTGCAGCCATCTGAAGAAATATTGTTGCTGAGGAACAGAGCGCCCTCTCTTATTCTTGCTCAGGGCAAAAAGTTCCTATGCAGATGTTCTAGGGTGGGACTCACCAGAAGCCAATGGCATCTTGCGGGCCACATTCACGGAACAAGGCTGCAATCAGCTGGCTGGTGTTGAGCCTGGAGTACGGATTGGGGTAACTGAGAAGTGCTGTTGCCAAGGCAACCAATAATACCTGTATAAGGTAGAAGGAAACACTAGACACCTTATCCAGGAACATATCACATTGGAAAACAAAACACATCTTAACAATCCTTGGTTGTGCTCTTAAACTTTTCAAGAGCAAAGACAGTTCTGGAAAAAAAGTGACTCATGTGAGAAGCTGTGGTAAAATAAATGTTCACAGTTTAAGAACAATTTAGTAGAATAAAATATGGAAAATATAGAGTGCAAAACCATAATAGTGGTTGTTGTTTTTTTAGAATCAGTAGCATCTTTCCTTGTACCGACACCAATGTGGGACAGCAAATATTATTTTCAAATCTAGTTCACTTCATGTTTCCAAGTCAACTTGCCTCTGTAATTGGGTAGTTTCCCAGCCTGGATGTCATGCGTAGCTTGCACCATTTCAAGTTGAGTCTGTTGAAGGCAACTCCATACAGTCCCTGCATCGGACAACAAGTTCCAGAACAAAATATCAATTTATCAATTTGGAAACTATAGCAAATAAATATTGGTCATATGTACAGAAAACAAATTTCACAGCAGCACTGGCGTCCTGTCCACTGGACCGAAGATCTTCTCATTCTTATAATTCTGCATATTGTGGGTTTTGAGTCCTGTAAGGTTACAACATGTGTGTCCATTAGCCAGACCCTCCCAACTGTTTCTCCCAAGCCCACAGCAGAGCTTAAAATTACGGTCAGACATTGACCCTTTTCAAACTACTTAGGGTATTTGTCCGACCAAGAGCAGATCTGATTGGAGACAATGTCCAAAGAAAATGTCAAAAACATCACAACTGCTGTTGGTGATTTTACTTGTGGACTTTGTGCACTGACGACATTTGAACTGTGTGAATGCGTTCTTATGTGAACCTGGTGTATATGTATGTCCACTCAAAAGCTCCGTAAATTCTGTCCAAATAATTTCGGACCTACTTGCACGCACTGCCAGTGCGTAACCTACGACAGGCCAGTGATGGCAGAGTTTGGTTGCTGTACCTCAGTTATTTACCTTAAAACGTCAACACTGTGCTGTGCACTCACCGAACGGCAAATAAGGGTCAAAGAAAAAGCTAAGTTGGTCACTCTCTATTATGGCTATGCATCGGAACCAAATACCTTAGAACCTTGCCGCTAGTGCCAGGAAACGGTTCCCAATTTTCAGACTGAGTACCAACTCAACAAACTACCTTGTAACTTTCCAGACAACGCAAAAATTCAGACTTGTGACATCTTTTCATGGGAAAATTTTGAAATGAAACCCAGGCCACACTGAATGCTTAAACACATTTCTAGTTTA